TGTGGAGGCAAATAGTGAGTTCTGGTAAGGCCATGTCTGAATAAACATTGATTCCAAGCTTAATCCAGCTGTTTTTCTGGATATTGCAGAAGTCGATGCAAAAAACAGAACCCGAGGAAAGAAATTGTATGAATTGGAAAATAACAAAAAAAGCACTTGGGGGTTCCCAACAACAAAACCAAGTCTTTCTCCCTTGGCTGCCACAGAGACAAGGGCAGGGTGTAGGACTGCATAAGCGACTGACTCAAGTCAAGAGTTCATCCTCTGCCGAGAGCACAAATCAGGCCAGAAACTTCCCGATTCAATTGGTTATCACCCTCCTGCTCACAACATGGTACCATTCTTTTTGCAGTTCCCACAGCAACCATCTCAAATCTCTAGTATAGCAAATGTTGTCCGAACTCCCTCCTGGAAGAATTGGAGATAATGGTATGGCTCTATAAACCATATTTGGCTTCACATTAATGATCCATTGATATTTTCCAGAGCATCAGGATTGATTATATCTGACTTTTAGGTTGCAAGATCCAGAGCAGTACAAATGCAACTTACCAAGGTCACCTCAGAACAGATTCAAGGCTTCTGCCCTTTTGGGTGGACCAAAACCGAATTCAGTGTTAAGAAATTTCCACCCTGCTCCAAACATGTACAAATGCTTGGCCTGTTCTGCTGCGGAGAAGAGAGTACCATAGGATTAACGTACTCTCTTGAAACCTCTAATTAGTTCAGACATAAAACTGCAGATTTATATGGGCAGGCAGGCATCCAAGGATATGCCTGTGCCAGCTCCATCTCTCACTAAAGGAAGATGGCCTGAATCTTGACTTCAAGTAGGAATACTGGACACCACAACTCCAGGGAATCATTCCTGGAACAAGGTTACCGCCCACAAAATACTTAAACCAGTTGGCTGGGTATGGGAGTTCGTGAGGTTCTACCACTCCTTGTTTCCTTTTGACTCTCCCTCTTCCCGCTTCATGGATTCCCACAGTCAAATGTCTTGATGCCATTCACAATCCCGGCCAGAGGTTCCCATACTTTTTAGGCTCAAGGTTGCCCAAAACATTAAGCATCCTGACTGAGGATCCCGTGCAATAAATTCATAGAAATCTGCCGCCTGCCTCACTGGTAGATAATAATAATAATAATATAGATGACACTGAGAAGCAATCCTTGGAATGTGCCTTCCTTATCCTCTCCTTGGGCTGCGCGTGCTTCCTGTGGGGCAGTGAGGCATGGTCTTAGGGAGGGTACAAGCTCTCTTGGCTCTGGCACAGATTGGGACTGTTACGCAGGCACTCAATAGAATCGTACAACCTGATGGAGCCTGATTCTTCATCGGACAAACTGAGGGGTTGAGGGTGGGTGTAAGGATTCTCTGGTAGAACAGAGCTTAGCGATTCCTGCCTTCGCTGCGGGAAACTCATTGGGGCTTATTCCAAAAGACCAGTTCCTTCCTCTGCAGAGGAATGATCTCCTCTAACTGGTGGCCTTGGCACTCCAGGTTGCCATCACTATTATTTGCACCACAAAAAGTTGTCCTGAAATATAATTCCTGATCGTAACTTTCCAACTATTTGGGTTATTTACATTAATGAGCCAGGCAATGAAAGGTTTTCGTAACTGCTTTTCATCCTGTCATCCAGTGTTGGGAAACTCATTTGCTGACTTCAGATTCCAGAACATCAAAATGTCTTCCATGACAGGGTATTGCTATGTTTGCTCTTGCACATTGCTGAGTTAGTGAATTTTAAGCTAAAGTGATAGATTACATGTGTGTGTGAGAACACGTCTTTCTTATCCACTGTTCGGGCTGTTTGTCTGCTATGCTGTCGTCCACGCTGCCTTCCATCCACGGTCTTTGGCTTTGCACTTCTCCGGTGTATGTTCAGGCTCCGCAGCCCCCTGAACCCACCTTGAAGCGCCCCCAGGGGTATGTCGACCCCAGTTTGGGAATTAATGGTCTAGGCTCACACGTGAACAATGGCACCTTGGGTGAGTACTTGAGGACACCAGGCACTATGTAGAACTGCATATTTTTATAGGCTGGATGAGGAGAAAGGAAGAAAATTGGCAGAGAAAATAAATCTGCAAAAACAATATTGTGGAAACCAGTGAAAGGAAAACAGTATATTCCCTGAATAGATTAAGAAAATGCTGGTCCTGACATGTCTTAATTGTCACGTATATATAGTGCCCTAATTCTTTGAGGAATAACAAAGATGTAAATTAATAAAGCACCTGAGTAACGTACTGATTGAATAATCTGGCTAGGAGCATTCAAGGTTCTATTAATTTTATTTTGCTCTGAGTTTAAAAATAGCAAACGGCATTGTTTCATTTATGTTGTATGTCTTTGGCTGCACGCCATGCAATTAGTTGAACTGCATCATAATTCAGTTGAATTGTTCTGATTGACTGGGTTTGTAAAATTTGTTGGTATTAATTTTAGTAAGGAGTCGGGGTGTATTGCGTTACATTAAAAAAATAGAAAACTTAGAGAACCTTTCATGAGCAATTAACTTCAATTTTTTTTTAGACTTGGTTAATATTACAAATTTATATTCCCTGCATTTAATTCAAAAGTGTGGATATGAAAGCGAACATTTGATTTGCTGTTATTTCTGCTTCTTAATCCTCATTGGGTAACTGCAAAATTCCTCCAAAATTGGTTGATAGTTTTATTGTTACAGCTCAGCTCTTGTGGAATCTACAAAAGGAACAATTAGGTTGTGCTTAGGTGTTGGCATGAAGTATGCAACATTTGAAGTATATTGCCCTCTTTCATTTCATATGCAACGCTTTCCTCCCAAATATGACTATGTTTGTTTACTGTGTTCTCTCCAGCAGAGGCTTGGATAGTGATTTCAGCAGATAGAGTGGTATTATGCATGTAGTGTTCAAAATTATACTGCAGGAATCATCCTCTAGCAACAAATGTGCAAGTATTTCTGTTGGAGCTACTTGTGCTGCTTCTGTCCGAAGTGCCAAGAAATTGCCCACTTTGGGTGAATCTTGGCAGACCCTGGAGACAGCCACACCTTTTTTTATGTAACAGCACTGGACTGCAAAAACATATTAGTCTCAATGTCTTCTCATGGTATTTTCCTTCATTCTCGAACTACAGAGTGATTAAAAAGTTGTGATACCATTACAATGTCTAATAAATATTAAAGAAATTATAATTTTGTTTTAGATAATTGGGTAGATATCAGAACTTTTTGGTCACCTTGTACAAGTATTCTAAGTTATGGAGGAACTGAATCTGTGTGTTTGAGAACTGGAGGAAAGAGCTGGAAGTGAAACATCTATGAAACAACGTACTTTTTAAAAAAAAGTCATTTAGAATGCACAGAAACCTGATTTTAAAATCAACATTTTATGCTGAGTTGCTCAAATTGTATCTGAAGATCTGCAGAGGAATCTTATGTGGAGCATTAAATATGTTCCAAACATGTTGTAACTTTTTATACTAATGTGTTGGTTGCTTAGTAATAATGGAGGTTCAGTGAACCACTCAAAAGAAAGTCTTGCAATTTAGAAAAAGATAGATAGGAATTTGGTTTATTAGAATTGAAGAAATTACCACCACTGAAGCTGCAAAGGATTAAGCCTCAGTTAAATTATTTCAAGCTTAGTCTTATCTCTTCAATGTTTCATTCAGGTAGAACAATGTTCTCTCTATTATAATCCACATTAGCAACTTTTCTGCAGCTTCATTCTGTACTTGAAATCTGTAATATTTTATTTTTACATTATTAGCAGTGCTTAATGTTTCTGTGTCTACGGCCTTGGTTTTAGTAAAAAAACCTTAGTGCAGTCAGATGTACCATCATTTTTAGTCGTTGTGCTCTTACTTTTAAACTCTTTATCAGATTAGGTTTCCAGCCTGGAACCCTGAAGCATAATGTTTGCAAACCACACTGCACGTTATGCTTGACAAAGATCAATTTGGTGAAAGTTACCAGCAAGCCTAGGGATGTGCTGCATTGAATCCCTCGAAATTGCTAGAAATTGACATAATGAGTCTACTCAAAAGCAACTTCAAGAACGCTTGCATACAAACGATCACAGGAAGGCCACGCATTCCACAGCACTGGTCGATTTGCTAAAATGATAAATGCTAATCAGCTTGCAGTTTGCACAATGCAGAATGTCAGGATAAGCCACGAGAAGCGGCAGAATTTCCAGTTTATTCCTCGAAGATGAACTCTGGTGACTGAGATCATATCACAATTGGTCTTAAACTAGCAGTTGCACTTTGATTTGTGTATTCAGGCTGTAGGTGGTTATATATTTTGGACAAAATACAAATTCCAGTGGTCTTGATGATTACACAAAATAATAAAAAAAATTAGAGGGTGCTAATTTACCTTTTACCAAATACAGGATGATACTGTTAGGATGCACTCCATTCGTTTATAGCAGAAGGATATCACAAATCTTTACCTCGTTTTATGCTTTCTCGCTGTTTCTGTAACTTTCTATATCTCTTTGAATCTCTAACATTAGTTTTAAGAACATCTCCATTTAATGCTTCAATATTTACTACACTATTAAAGTTTTTATTCTTGATGACAGGAGTTCACAATGCCTTTAATCCACTGTGGCCATCAATGCTGTGTTCATTCTGCAGTGTACTTTGACAGTGAGGAAGTGTCTTCCGTGCAGGAGCCCTGCCCTGGACACCACCTGCAGTAGATAACTTCAGGAGCAGTCTGATTCACTCACAACTGCAGAGCATTGTGGATGAGAATCAAGTTGGGGCGCCCTTTTCTATAGTCCCTTGAAAGTTTTGGGATATCTCCCAAACTTTAAAAAAACTAACACTTTATTCTTGTCTTAATGCAGTACCGAACTGCAGTCTAAACCTCAGTGTAGCCTTGTCTACACTGCTTCAATGTTGGCAGTAATATTTCAAAACTATTAATACTGCATAGCTCTTAAAAGATGGTTAAAATCTGGTAATGAAATCAAATGCTTTTCTACACTTTACACAGGGTCCTCTAGCAGCAAGCTTCCTAACCAGGCAACACCAAAGAAAAATGGAGTGAAGAATGGACCATTGAAAAATAAAGATGATGAATGTTTTGGGGATGGAATTGAAGAGATTCTGGATACGGACTTTGACTTTGAAGGCAACCTAGCACTCTTTGACAAGGCAGCTGTGTTTGAAGAGATCGATACATTTGAAAGGCAGAATGGTGCACGCTCCAGGGGAACGCCAAGTGAGAAGCAAGCCAGGTACCGGCATGATGAGAACATCCTGGAGTCTGAGCCCATTGTCTACAGGCAGATCACAGTGCCACAACACTGCGGCAAAGAATATTGCACTGGTAAGTCAGAACCATTAGAGCCCAAACCAGCTTGTGTGTTTGCGTTTTAAAATTGAAGAGATGTGGGTGCAGAACTGCTGCTGGTTGATATTTTTGAGGATTTTGTTTTTACATTCAAGTTTAAAATATTCCTTTGTGCTTTTGGCGCATTTCATTCTTAAAAACAACTTAAAAATACAGGATACTTCAGGCCAGATTAAAATTGTCTACACAGACATGTGTGGTTGCCTTTTCGTGACTCTTCTGTATCAAAACATGCTTTGCGGGTACCTGGGTTTCATTCACCACAGTGGTCTCGTGTGAATACAAACCACATTCAGAGATATGTAACTTTTCTTAGACAGGAGCAAGCATGGATTGACTTCAGCTCTTCTGCCCCCACTCTCTGGAACTCCATTTCCGAATTCCTCTGCCTTATCCCCTCCCTCACCTCCTTGAAGGCCCGTTTCAAAACCTTCATCTACAATTCCGCCCCTACCCTCCAACCCTCTTGATTCCAACCTCAGCTTGGTGAAGACCCTTAACCACCTTGGGACAGAGACACGTAAAACAACTTTGTTCATAAAATTTGGTAGCATTATTGAGATGCGCTTTCTCCCACCTTAGATTGCTATCTATATCTATCTGATTGTAAGAAATATTTTATCTTCAACAATCAATGAAGTTAAAAACTCATGTGGGTAGTTTTGAATCTCTTCCAAGTATTCTAGAGGCAACGTTTTCCTAATTTGGTTGCAGGACCACCAAAGAGCTAAACCCTTTAAGTCCTTATTTTCAATTTAATGAGTTGAAGTCTATAAAAGCTTAAAAGTTGTGTTTGGTGGACAAATGGGTAATTGTGTTATGTATCTTGATATATTATTGTTGGTGGTGGTTGGTTTTGACATAATTTTCTCTCGTTGAAAGCTAGGAAGTTTGTCTTTTCTAAGCTTTACAGTGAACCTTCGTCTTCTGTTATGCAGTGTCCAGATTCTGTTTTGAGTGAGCCTCTCTCGAAGAATCAAAACTATTCATAAAACCTATTGACAGACATCTGTTTGCAATTTTGGTTCAACTGGACCTGATCATTACACAGTGCACCATTTTAACAGCATTCTATCTCTAACAGATGTTACAATGGTTCTAAAATTAAATGCAACTTGTTGAGAACAAATTTGAAAGTGCATCAAACGCATATCCTCTCTAGAGGCATTACATAATGCTTAAAGTGATACATTTGTGTGACTAACTGAATGTGTAGTGATCACTTACTGATGACTTTCTCCAGGGCCTTAATACTTCTCACTCTACAAAGTTAAATTTGGCTGACCAGTTTTCAAAGAAAGCAAAGATCTGCACTAAGAATTAATTGAACATAAGGAGAAAGATTGTCACTCATTCCAAACATTGTCCATAAAATCTGGTAGCAGTATTGAGATTTGTTTTCTTCCACTTGGTATGGGATTTAAATCTGATTGCTAGAAATATTTTAGCTGGAACAATCACTGAAATAACGAACCGCATGTGGGTAGTTTTGTTTAGTTAACTGAGGGAAATGAGAACCAGATGTCCTTCACTTGACACTGTCTATTTAGCTATGCTTGTAATAGACTGAAAGGCAGCTATTTCTTAATGATGTCAGTTGTAATATGTTGCACTGCAGCATCATTTTACAATAGTGTTGCCAAGTTTAATGACCTGAATCACTTTATATTAAGTTCTGAAATTAATAGTGTAATGAAATTCCTGTTATAATTTTGTTCTACTGTTAAAATAGGGTAGCTCTACTCTATTTGTGAGCTCAATCACATGAAAATAATGGGAAAATGAATCTTTTCTCACTTAGTATTGGTAACAATATCCATTATCAGGGCAGTTTCCTATGACTTTTCAGTTTCCTATATCTGACCATATGGTTCAACTGAAAGTTTAAAATAGTCTTTCCTCTGCCAGTGGAATGTGATATTGTTACAGTTTTTGTTTAGTTATTCTTGAGTGGATGCTGGTTTTCATAATATTTTGTTCTGGTTGCTTCAACATAAGCAGGCTGCCCAGGCCTCAATGCTGGAGGAGAGCAATGAGGATGATCCCCAGTATTGGAGGAATGAGCAATGATTATTCAACCTAGGACTCTTCTTGAAAGTTGACTTCTCAGAGTGGACCTTGTAGAACTACATAAGATTTTCAATGAGATTGAGAAATTAAACCTTGAACAAAACTTTCAGATTCATCAAGTTAGCAGAACAAGAGGACACAGTTTTAGGATTGCAAGAGGTGATTTCTAGATCGACATCAGGAAGTATTTTCTTAGAGAGTAACGAACGACTGGAACAGGTTACCAGGATGGGTGGTTGAGCCCAGCATGCTGGACAAAAAGCAGCTTGATTCTCTGGTGGGTATTCTGGGTGGATGAGATCAAAACTCCGAACTCCTCTCAGAAATGATATATCACCTGAACCTTTCAAAATATTATCTTGGAATGTTCCTACCTTACACTCATCTTTTGAATAGTTAGTTATGTAGCTGGATCAAATATTGCTTCACGCAACCTCAAGATTGAATTAAAATTGAAATCCCACACCCAGAAGCAAAAGAATTCCAAAGTTAGATTTTTTTTTGACCCAGTCTATATTCTTACTCGAGCCCTAAACTTTTCAGATCGATTACTTTTTCCTCTTGTCAGACAGAAATCGTAATAACTTGCCTAACTGCTTCAGCTGGCAGCCATTTGCTATTGATGCAAGTATTGTGCTTTGAGGCCCTGCAGTAGACTTGTAAATGCATTTTTGCGCAGTATAGTGTGCTTGGATTGCATCATTAAAATGCTGTTTTGTGAAAGAGCAATTTGCCTTATTTGAGAATGTAAACAAGCATTAGCCGGTTCCAAGTCGCCACCCTGAATACCTTTGTGCAGTTAAAGGATGGCTTCTTAAGAAAGTAGAAGATTAAGTTATTTGGAGTTGGATCAATCTAAGCTTCAGTACATTGAACGCGTTATAGAGTGCGTGCCAATTTGGGGGAAGTGACTATTCTAATTACTGTAATAAAGATCTTGATCTCCTGAGAATGTGTATTGAACCAAGAACTGGAGCACATGCTTCTATTTGTGACCTTCCACAATAGCGCCAAACTGATGTTAATCCATGTGCATCGTTTATTGTCATTCCCTTTTTGCAATAACAACCAGCTTAGCTGATTTATGTACAATTGTTTGGTATTTGCAGAAATCAAACTACAATATTTGTGTCATTTTTAAAAGCAAATTGTAACGCAAGATCCATAGTCTGTTCAACCAAATTAGCTCATATCGTGGAGCGAAATTATGTAGAGCTTAGTTTACATTTCACTTTATGTATTGCCACATAACTGGTATCAATTCAAGCTAAGTAACTCACTTGAACAATACCCATACCATGGGAGTTTGTTTACAATTTAGTAAACTCTGGTGTAGGTATTGTTCAAGTCAGATTGTATGTTGCGTTCACATCAGAGGGATCCATAGCTTTTTCACATTTGCTCCTAACTCATTGTGAACAGTTTTGGCAGTGCACCATTGGTACACTGTATGTAGGTGGTTGTCTGCTAACATTTGCTGTTGCCTGTTATGCCACCACTGATCGACTGACTGTCCTACCTTCAAGTCAGAAAATATGTACACAAGTCGCTGAGGCTCATCTTCCTGGCAGTGCCAGTCGTCCAAGTCAGACATTACTGTTATGACCATGATAATCCCTAAAGTAAAGCAAAGTGCTTTTGCCGACATTACCTATTTTTAAATTACATTCATAATGGATTTTTACACAAAGATAAACCTGTAAGCTGTCTTCCTATACAGCTAATTGTTGCCAGATATTTCAGTTATTCTTTGCTAGGAATAAAGTTTAATCAATAACATGCTTTAGCAACTGCTAGATATCTGATTATATCATTAGGGATAAATTCTTAAATTTCAAAAAAAATTTAATCAATAACATGCTTTAGCAACTGCTAGATATCTGATTATATCAGTTGCTAAAGCATGTTATTGATTAATTTTTTTTTGAAATTTAAGAATTTATCCCTAATGATACACTTGTTGTTAAATTGATCCAGTTTTGTAAAAGTACCCTATGCATACCTATAACTGTTTTCTGTGTTAAATGCTTAATCTACACAGTTTACAGCATTACCATAAATCTTGCAGCCATTGAAAGAAATCATATTCCAGCTCTTAAACCAATGAGTTCTGCGTAGATACATTTCTGTTGTTCATTGACATTTAAAGTTGTAATGCCTTCGAGAGGGTACCGTTTTATGATCTGAAGTTGAATTTGAAAAAACTTGCTGAAACCATTTTTGATTCATGTGCTTTATTTGATATTCTATCAGAACAAAACCCTAGCCCAAATATGTTGGGTTTCCTTTGTTGCCTCAGATCAATGTATTTGTTCAGTGCAACCACATTTCACCCTTTAATTTGAAGCTTGCGGTGGGGGGAAGTGAAGGAGTATTGGAAGGCCACTGTGTAATCAGGAAGGAAACGGCTGGTTTCTGTTCTTTTTTCATCAGGAGGGCTTTACATGGAATTGCAGAATGTCTTAAGGTTCTGGGGAAACTCACCTATATTGCTTTCAACAACAACAAATAATGACATTGTATAGCATCTTTCACGTCAGGAGGACATTCCAAGGTACTATCATCGAATTTCACAAATCTTTTGTTGAAGTGCCTCCTGCAGCTCTTTTGAAAAAGCTGGAAGACTATGGGAGTCAATCACCAAATCTTAGCTTTTTATTGGGATGCGTATTTCAGCTCCCAAGATGTGTGCAAAGGTTAATGAGAGATTCACTGAGTCTATTCCTCTTGAAAGGAGTAAGGCATGGTTGTCCACTGTTACCTACCCTATTTGATGTATTCATCAATGATACATTGGATGACATTGAGAGGGACAGACTTTGAGTCTCTGTTGCAGGTATTTCCAATACAATTGGGTTATTTCTCTTTGCAGATAATGTTGTTCACTTGGGGAACTTGTGCATTCT